GTAAAACAATAAGACACGGTATAACCTCTCATGCTCCCAAAGTGCTGTCTAATACACACAAAGTTTGCAGACTATCAAGGATCAAAACCTCTACCAATCTACAACTAATTACAAAACTCTAAGCATATATAAGTAAATATTTCTAAGCATAAATGACAATCAACAATACAAACTCTAACACTAACCTGAATGGTGATGCGCACATCTTCCCCTGTCCTTATAACTGTGAAGCTGGTAAACTCAGGGTCTGGATAGTAGGGGAGTTTAATGGAGCAGGCCAAGGTTTCATTGGCTACTTTGACAAACATAGTGCTGCTAGAAATGCTCCCAGCTGCAGGTGAATTGTAGGTGAGATACTGCAATGAAATTAAATAAACAGAAAAGACAGCATGACATGACTAAAGCAGGACATAAGATTATGACATGCGTGTGTCAGATGTCCACATCCGAAATGTTCAGAGCTCATGTATGAAAACATCTTGATGTCATTTCAAAGGCACATTGTTTGTGTCTACAGACCAACCTCAGAGCTGATGTTTCTGGGAAGTCTGACATCCTGCATTGCGTGGCTGTGGAAGACCCCTTCAACAAAGTTAAGGTGAGACCCCATGAGTGTGATCTTCCTCTTCCCACTGCAGGACAGGAAGCGGGCTTTAGTCAGAGCAGAGGGACTGCAAGGAAAAAAATCATCTGATCCCACACTCCTTTCAAACAGTTAGCATAACCCACATTTTTGTCAATTCTCAACAGTGTGAATTATTCAAACTGTGTTTTAAACATGATTTGATAGAGTAGTGAGAGATGTCCAAAAACATTTCCTCCAGATTTAACAGTTTTCATTTAATAAAGATCTTTTTATGTTTAGATGTTACTGTTGTTTTCAGCTTGATTAAAAGCTCACTAATAGGAGTTATTGCTATCTGGGACTGATCCAACATGAAAGCATAAGCAAGGTCTGGATGAGAATGAAGGCACAATCATTCACATACGTGCACAGGTAGGGGAAGGAGTTGTAGGAGGTAAAGAAGATGCCAGTTTTATACTAGTAAAAATATTTCACTGGAAAATTAAGAGCTCTCCACACGTAGGCTGCAGTCTGAACACTGAATCATTATTTTAGCATAGATAATATGCCTGTAAACTAAAGTGTGTGATGGACTCAGAAGCTAAAAAGTACCCCACGTATTCATTCTGCAGACAGCAGAGCAAAAAAAAAAGAAAAAAGGCTGGTGACTGAGGCTGCAGAGCTCAGAGGTGTGGACTCCAACAGGAAGTAGTCGGGTGACAGATACTGCTTTCTCAACCATGAGGTTCAGTAAAAGCGGCAGAGGTCAAACCAATGCAAAAGCTTCCTTCCTCTTATGATAAATATCTCTGTTCTCTCACAGCAGGATGTAGCAGCACGTGATACTGCACACAAAAGACACACACACATGTACTGTTTCTTTGGTCAAAACACTTTCTGAGACATTAGCAGATAAACGTTCTGTATCTTCTGTGTTTTTTAGGTTTCAGCAAAACTGAACATACCTGATCCAGCTGCTGCTTGGAGTAATATTGGTGCATGATGGTAATGAGCTGTAGGTGATTTTAGCTTTGCCATGGCAACGACCATCTGGGAGGAGAAGACATACGTTGACCACGCCTTTGATATTTGAACTGGGAATGTGGAACGTCAGACTGAAACCAGTGTTGTCCCAAACAGAAGATCTGACCAGAACACAAAGAGAGAAACAGAGTCACTAACGCCATCACAACATGCAGAAAACCCCAAGAAAGACTAAAGCTGAGCAGCAAGGTCTTCCTTAAAATTATCAAATTGTGTGTTTTTATGAGTTTAACACGTCTTTGATTTCATTTGGATTACAAAGTAAACAGTAAATCCAGATTTAACCCTTTCACACACAGTGGCCACTACAGTGGACAGCTAGTCAAAGGCTGTTTTTTTTTGTATTTGTTTCAGTGTTTATGGTATACTTGCACATAAACACAACAGACAGTGCATATTATTTATTTGTTTGTCAAATTCATGAGTCAAAATGTATGTTGTCCACCTAAGTGGACATGTAAAGAACTCTTTGAAAAGTACATGTTTAGACAAATGAAGTTCAAAAGTCTTTTTTTCCATGTCTAATGATGAATAAAAATACTTAAGAAAAAAATCCTAATTGTGGTTGTCATAATTCATGCAAAAACGGGTCAATGATTGATTTTGTAATCGTATCACCAGACCTGAGGCCATATGTTTTGGACACTCGGGTAAAGAGAGGGGCTGAGCTGTCAACTGATCACCACCTGGTGGTGAGTTGGATCAGGT